ATTACGAGGACCTTGAAGGTCGGATTCTCAGTTAAACGTGCGGCCATGACGTTACCTGCAGTTCCAGCTATTCATATGACTACATCAATCCATGCTCCTGTGCTTGGGTAGATAATATGGATTGACGTACCTCCGACTATGACAAAGTCATAAGCTGTGTCGGGAAGCTGACCGCTATCCGTGTACACCGCAGCGTTTGCCAGGGTAGCAGTGAGCAGAGCTATCAGGCTAGCGAACACAGGGCGTAGATTGAGTGCCATAGTGAGCTTGAAGATGAGGAGACTTGCGAGCAGAAGCACGAGAAGCAGAACACGCCTTCATGGTGATATATATACTGTAGCCAGCTAAGAGTCATGTGGCCGAACCGCGGTGCCGTGGAGATACTTCAGCAGAATCGTCGTTGTCGTTAGAGTGACTAGCGACATCAGAGCACTGGCGCAGGGTCGCTCATCATGCTGTGACCTTATACGGCACCAGGTTCAAATTCTACTCCGAAAGTTGGGCGACCAGGAACGGTACGAGAGCGATACTAGGCCATTACCAGTCATTAGCGAGTTCTGGGATGTAGCCGACGACAAACTGCTTTGCGCACGTGACTTACCATTCAAGCTTTTCTGACATGCAATATATCCCCATATTTACAGCTGATTTACAGCGTAGGCACCTTAGCGCGACGTCACGCATGATCGCAACGCAATGTCCGGGTTCCTGAAGGAGCAACGGCAAGAACTCTATTTGATGTTCATTGAAATCAGATTCTAGCACTAAGCCTCGGAGCAGGCTGAGCCTAACGAAGCCTTGATCGAAGGAATCGACAAAAAGTGGCCTCGAAGGAGGGGTGCGCATCGTCTCTATGTAGAGGTACTCGGTACTTCTAGCCCGTGAGTATTCGGCGTGAGATCAAGCGAAGAAAGAGCAGCTGTTCGCTTTCTGACAATCTCGCCCCAGATCAAAGAAACATCGCCCAGAACATCGTTTGCAGCAAACGGGGCTAAAACAGTGGCTGAGTCCCGCCGCCGAGCGAGCTTGAGATACAACCAGGCAATATGAGGCAAGAACGTCTCGTAGCGCAGAGACGAAGGCATTCCAGATTTGAGCTCGACGAGTCGGCTGTCAGCCGGCGGAGACCAGTCGGCGGAGAGACGCAAGATTTATGCGCGCCATGAGTCCACGGCAGAGTTCGGCTTCGGAGCTGTTCGCCTTTGACATAGTCCCTAGACATTCTACGATCTCGATTTCAAGTGCCAAGAGCGGGCGGCGAGGAAATAAGGGCGCATTGCCAAGCTAGCGGCGTTCGACGAGTAATAAGCGCCGAATACGCTGGAAAGTTCAGGTACGGGGCGTGCGCAGATCAGGTCATCCATCTAAAGCTCTTCGACGATGTAGCCATTCTCCTTGAGAGACGAAAAGGCTTCCGAATGAAGTGCACGCTCGGGGTGCGGAAGGCAGTTCACGATAACTCAACAAATTCAGGATCTCGTACATGTTGTCTTTGGGGACTCGGGTTACACGGCATTGAGCTCCCGAGCGAAGGTAAGGGTACGATGAGGTTTTTCGAATGCTAGAAGCGAAACCGCGGCCTGCCAGAGAGATGCAGCTGCACGGCAGGTAGTCCAAATATGACCTATAATCACACGATATGAATAAGTAGGCGTGGGGAAGGCAGAAAACGCGCCTCAAGGGATGTGGTGAACTCGTTGGCACCGACGGACAGCTTGAAGATAGCACCGCTTCAGAGCGTGGTTATTCGAGGAAAAATGTCGACGACCATCCAGCCTCTGAGTTGCAGACTCGGCGGACGTCACATCATCACAACCGCAGCCGACCGTCGCCTGACCTCTTTGCCGACTTGCCGTAGGAGCATCACACACCAGACTAGATGTTGATAGTTATCGTTGAGGCCGAAGCTGAAGCTGAAGCTTGAACATTCGAACGCCGAACATGGGGGTGAGGTTAAAGAGGTAACTTATTATCTTTTGGAGATCGAACTGATAATCTGAGAGTAACCAGACAAGATAATCACTGGACCATGCACTGCGTTTGGCACGAACGCGTTACGATACGGCACTTTTGCACACCAATACACCCAAAAACGTTACTCAAGACAGAGTCAAACAAGCCCTATGGCTGTCAGAGATGTGAATCTAACCAACGAAAGTTTCGGGGGAGGTCTTTGCGGAATAGATTATGTGAGTACCGGGCACGCAACTCGCAGCGCGGCATGATGTTGGCCACACTGAGCCTAGTATCTCTTGGTAGACTCGATACGAAGCATCCCAACATACTTGCGGGGTATGTGACGGGCGGCCGCCTCCCCCAAACATGTAACGCAGAAACTATCTTGGGCCGGTGTAAAGTTGCGAATCTCAAGCACCAGAGCTCGTAGTGACCCGTAGGTCTCCAACGCTTCGCCTATGGCCTGCAACTCTGGGCCGACTTGGCTAAGAGCACACTCCGCAGCGGTGTCGGCATCAAAATTTTCGTCTCCCTCCGGCGTGTCATCGACAGACAGGCTGAAACCGATAGCGACCTCGGACGCGTTGAAGACGGACAGCGTTCGTACATGCGCGGTGAGACAGCGCACGGGGGACGCATAGGAGCCAGATTTGGGTCGGAGCCAGAGAGGGACGATGAACGTGACCCTGCGTAACTTGGCGTGGTGACGTCCCGCGACGACCGGGGGAGTAAAACCTCTGGCGACGTAGCTGACCGACTCCAGGTTCGGCATTGCGCAGATGAAGTCGAGCAGTTCTAGTGTCAAACGGTCGACGACGACGTGCTGGACTGCTGTAGAGCCCGCGTGCGCCCGCAGCTCACGACAAAGCGCAGTGACCACTTCTCCCTCGTCCACGTTGTCGAGCACCAGCGTCTCAACAATGGGTGCGGAAGGCGAAAGGGAGAAAGACAAGGGCCTATGACTATCTCGATGCCAGCGACTGATGCCGCTGATGGTGAGCTTTCCGATGCGTTGGAAGTACGAGAAGATATCGGCCATTGCTTCAACGGATGCCTTGTCTGCTAGGTCCCGAAAGATAACTTCGTTCAGATTGAACGAGGGTTCAGTAAGAGCAAACGATGCGGATTGTCTCGGTAGCGTAGCATCGGGAGATCGTGCTTCGGGGCGTAAGGCGCAACGTTCGAGGTGGAGGCAATCAAGACCAGGAAGGAGGTTTATAACAACCACGAGGGTTGACATGTCTAGCTTCTCCAGCTCTACATGCTCTCCGGGAATCCTGAAGCACTCCTGGCGTTGGGATGTCAGTGCGAGTTCGCGTACGTAACATCGTAGCCGGGTGGATGACGTTAGGATGTCGACGCAGGTGCTGAAGCGCGTATCTGAGGGATCAGGGCACGAGCAATGTTGGTTTTG